TATCCACAGTTATGGTGAACACTTTCTCAATCTCCCAATCCAACAAGCACTGCTAATGGTCCTCCCTATAGTATCACCTCTATGATTTTCAATCATGACAAAATTTAGAATCCTTTTGTGAAGCTTCCATTCATCATCAATAACATGTTCCGTCAAACATAGGTAGTTAAAATTCTAATTTGATGTCCAGCAATCTGTGGTGAGACAAACACGTTTTGCACTTTGCTTTAAAAATTTCTTCAATATTTTAACTTCTCCAAAGTATAATTGCCACACATCTCTTCCAATTGTTGTTCTTGAAGGAATTGGAAAGCGAGGTTCAAACTCATTTAACAATTTCCTAAATAGAGGCTTCTCCATAATTCTGAATGGTCGCTCATCACCAATAATAAATTCAGCCAAAGCTCTTTTACATCGCTTCTCATCATATACATGTAAAACTAAAGATTTTCCTTGCCTAGTTGTCCGACCCGACAAAAGAGTTAACATAAATTGTTTTTTATCTGTAGTGGCCTTATGTGAATTCTTTAAACACTTTGGGATATGCCTTAGCAGAGAATTTGTCCCATGGCAGCTTGGATCAGCTTTATAAGTAGTATGACAATACTTGCAAGCTGCTAAGTGCAGTCCATTAGTTTCTTCTATTGGCAATCTTACGAAGTATTCCCACATCTCTGATGTGTGCTTAGTTTCTCTTTCCTTTCTCTTTATACCCCTTCCTTCAACATTTGTTTCTTCTCTTATAGAATCTGTTTGTGTGGGAGTGGGAGTAGAAGAAGTAAGCATAGGATTATATGATTGAACATGAAGAGTTGGGTTAGGGGTAGGAGCTTCACTGGGTCTATTAGGATTTGGTGTTTCATTAGGTCCTGGAATGGTTGGTGCTTGAAAAGGGGTTGAAGCACTTTGAAACATCCCACCAACTGGCTGAGATGGCTGGGATGATGATATAATAGAAGCTTCTTAATTCATTAAAGCTGCAAAATTATATAATACACAATTACTTTCACAATTGAATTCAAGAGAATATGGTTGATACTAAACTCTTCAATGAATCCAAAAGGTGTAGAGCTATTTCAGTTTTGGTATGATTGTTAATTGATTTAAGCTAAGAAATAAAAGCAACATATATATACCTTTTAATTATTGAGGCTATATGAATTGAACAAAGATAATCCTGAACAAATTAATTAAAAGGTATACCTCCGCAAAGGTTGAACAAATTAATGAGCTACAATAATACTTTACTATAACAATATAGCAAAATAAGATGTTCCTTGAAGCCAAGGGGTGATTATTATTGAATTCTCATTCCATAATTAATCTCCTTAAAAATTGGTCATATCTTCCGTATTTGGGCCTAATAAAAAGGAATGGCCAAAATAGCAAGGCGTCTAATAGTATCAAAACAAAACACATCGAACTGCTAGCTGCCTAAAGAATAATCCTAATGGGCGATGGCACAAATTAATGTTTGTTCATTTTTTGGTCTACCTTTATGAAACTGCTAGCTAAGAAGCAATGTCTTCATTATCAAATTTCCAAGCTTATTCATGTTCCCACCATTGCTTATCAAATTATTTAATCAAAGCAACAAACTAATTAAGTAATTAATTAGTGCATTATACATTCATACTTAATTCATTTCCTTAGATTAATTAAGACGGCAGCCCAAAAGTATAAGTCAGACGCAACCATATAAAGTAGTTATTTTAGTAACTTCATGTGAATTAAATTTTTTCAGATTCACTTAACTAATATATCACATAGCCTCAATAACATGCACAACAAACATGAAACACAGATAGAACATGGATGGGAGAGACTGACTAATAGAGTTGGAGGCTGCCTTGCTGTGAGCTGCTTCGCTGGTCAATGGTGCTGCTTCGCTGGTCAATGGTCGCTACTTCGCTGGTCGGTGGAGGAAGATGAAGTGGAGCTGGTCGGCAGTCATTGCTTCTGGTAGACCGCGACATGGCGACAGGCAGAGGGAGACTGAGAGACAAAGGGAGAGCAAGAAGGAGACTAAGAGACAGAGGGAGAGGGAGAAGGAGACTGAGAGACTGAGAGGGAAGAGCCGAAGAGGGAGATTGGGAGAGGTAGACTGCGACACGGCGATAGGCGAGACTAAGAGAGTGAGACAGAGATTGAGAGGGGGACTTCGTTCGCGAGGGGGGCGGCTGCTGGTTGGCTAGGGTTGGTCGAGTGGTGAGTGGCGTGCCTGAGCTGAGTGAGCGAGTCTGAGTGTAAGTGGTCGTTGGCTACCGCTAGATTGGGATTTTGGAAGACCAAAATTAATGTAAAAAAATTTTAAAAAAAAATAAAAAGTAATATGTCTTGGGTAGGGCCAAACATGCAGGGCAGGGCACCCTGCCCAAAGCCCGGCCCTAACAGTGATCTGCCCTACCCAAAAGTTTTGTTTTTTCGAGCTTCAATTTTTCGGGCCAGGTTGGGCTTTTTTTCCCCGGGCTCGGGCGAGCGCACCGGGCGAACGGGCATCGTGAACACCCTTAGTAAGGACCTTATTGGTAAGTAATATGTAAGTATTTTGTATGCACTCTTTGAATTTGGATGCATACTTTGACCTCGATAAGCTCTTGATATCTAACTCGTCTAAATTTTTTTGTATAAAAGAAACAGTAATGTTACTTAGGGTGATATGGAAGCTTTTATGTTTTTTTTAAAAAATAAAATCTCTTTACTCAGCTGCCATTTTTGTCTCGAATAATGCAACCATAGGTGGCAGATCCTCTATGATTAACAAGGTCATCAACATCTAATCTAACCAACCAAATTAATGTGGTATCCTCTAAGATGATGGCCGCTTTATTATCCAACCCTATAAGAGTTAAAAGCAAATTACTCCTCCAATCTTAAATATACGACTCATTTTGCAGTTAATTTATACTATGAAAGATGTCTTATGTTTAGGATTGGAGGAATATTATTGAACTTTGAAGGGCTTGATTAATTGTTTGTGATTTTTTTTTTTGGATACAAACGTTAGTGAACATTGTGATGTTGGATCTGATCTTTGATGATCTGGGTACAGGAGGCTTTGTTCGGAATAAAGTATTGGGCTTGAGCCATTCTGTAATGAGGTTGACCCATGGTGCCAAAATTGGGCTCAAGCCCAAAGTGTCTCAGCTATTAGCAAATAATTTATTTTTTTTATATCACATCAATTATCTTGTTTCAAAGTATTCCTATTTTTTAGGTGTAACATAGTATTCCTACTTAATATAATTTTTTTTTTTGAAAATTTATATGAATGAATGTTAATAGTTCAACAAATAAGGGGGTGTTTCAGCAGCCAGTTTAAATATGAAAAGTTAAAAATTACTTTTTTTTTGCCAAAACAAACAATTGCAATTAATAATTAACCAATATATATTTAATATTTCATAAATTGCACAGAAATGACACAACCTTTAAGGTTTTTATTTGCAAAAAATTATTAATTCTGAATTACTAGCAAGAAGAGAATCTTTAATATTATATCCAACAATACACACACGTGTGGCACACGCATAAGATAATCAAGAAGTGAAGTTGCAAATGAATTTATTGCATACATATCGGATTCTCGAGCTCTCAAGTCTCACCTCATCTTTAATATTTATTCTATTCTATTTTTTTGAGTTTCTATATATGAATTTATTCTAAATTTAAATAATCCTGGACAGCTTACCATATTTACTATTTTCATCCTATTATCAAGTTTAATTTCCTAAGGAAAAGGAGTGAGTGATGTGAAGGATTATCTTGTTTCCTTGATATTTGTATATCTGAAAATCTTCTCAAAGTGTGAAAACTGGTATGCCATTTATTGAGTTCACTGTGGCTTTCCCACATATCCAGTCTGTCTTCGCCTTATTAAAAATCACTACTATAAATGATAGGGTAAATTGCAAAAAAAATCCTGTAATTGAAAAAAACACAGATAGGAACATGTGATAATTTCACTTTGGGTTTTGATAACTTCATGACATGTTATTATTATCAAAAATTATAGTGAAGCTGTCAATGGTCCCTCTTTGCGGTTTTTCAATTCTAGGGTCTTTTTTTGTAATATTTCCTAAATAATATTCATCTAATTAATGTTTATAATATTTGAAATATTTTTACGTATTCAATTGATATAACAAGATTTTTTTGAGAAAATACTTAGTAAAGATATAAGAAATTTACATATATTTAATTTTTTGGAAAAATTAATCTCCATGTCCTTACATTTTCACCTGAATTTTAATAAGATCCTTAATTTTTTTTCCCTTTTGTCAAGTCCGTGTAATTTTATTTGTTTTTAATCAAGTTGATGTAATTCTTTTATTAGGTCTTTACAGTTACAACCAATTTTTAATCTGCTTCCATCTAGTGTTTTTTTTTTAATTAATCATCTGTAACTATAGGACCTCATAAAAAATAAGGTAAAATTATAAAGACCTTATAAAAAGAAAAAAGCTATAGGACCTGATTAAAAATCAGGTGAAATTATAGAGACCCACTGCCTAATTTTCTCTATATATCCCCCTCCCCATCTTAGTTCTTTTTTCTATCTGGAGAAGTCTACTGTACACTAATTCTTTTTTGGGAATATATGATAATCCTTGGTGTCCTATCGTTTGAGTGCGGTTTTACCCTGCGATTAATAACCTTATATTATTAAATCGAATTTCATTATTCACCAGAGTCAATATCTCTGACAAACATAAAAGTGCTCTTAATTCTATTAAGATTTTGCTAAAGTCAAAATCTGAGTTATAATGCCAAGCAGTATAAACCGAGGAGGTACATATTTCACTCATAAATGGAGATTGGTATTTTATAATTTCCTAATCTTGGACCAAATAATAAAAAGTAACAAATCATTAAAAAGGGACAGTATATTAATCGGATTTATTGCAATAAACCAAATATTTAGCAGTATCAATACCAAAATGTTAATCACCAATTCCATCCTCAGTAAAATATTTTGCTTTCTTTTTTCTCCTTCAAACATGAAGAGAAAGTCCAGTTCAGGTCGCCAAAAGATCCCTATTGAGAAAATACCAAAGAAAAGCCATCTTCAAGTCACCTTCTCAAAGCGTCGTTCTGGACTTTTCAAGAAAGCCAGTGAGCTTTGCACGCTCTGCGGTGTTGAAATCGCCATCATCGTCTTCTCCCCGGCCGAGAAGGCCTTCTCCTTCGGTCATCCGGAAGTGGAATCCATCGTCGATCGTTATATCAGTCGAAACCCCACGTCGGAAGCCGGTGCTCATATAACATCTTAAATTTTACTCCACAAATTTAAATATTAAAAAAAAAAGAGGGTTCCTAATTGTTATTTTCTCCGTTTTATTTTGGGGTCTTTAATTTTAGTTTACCCCGAGTGACTTCTTTTTACTTTCTCCGTCATTTTTCCTCTTCTCCTTCTCTCTCTCCGCGTTCATTCTTCGTTCTGCTCGCGGCGTGGCTCGTCTTTCTCCCTTCTTTCTTCATCGTTTCAAATAGTTTTGGTAAGTAAAACTACTTCTAATTACAAAACTTCCTTCATAAAAATTGTTCTACTCAGTTAGATCTACCTAATGATAGTAATTTTGTATTGCTTAGAGAAAATTTTTGGTATAGAGTTTGGAGCAAGTATTTAGTTTTGATGAGTATTAATCACAGTATTGTAGATCTGTTATAGTAGATCATTTCTACCTGTTTAGATTTGTCTATTTATTGATTTTGGTATTTAAAAATTAATTTTTAATTAAAAAATACGTTATTTATGATATATATATATCATATTTATACCGATTAAAATTAAGTTAAATAATTTATTTGGGTTGTTTGATATATTCTTAAAATTTTAATCAGTTTAGTTTTATTTATTGAGTAACTAGAGGTTTTAAAATAATTATTGTAGTTAAAGTTTCTTATTTATAAAAAAAAACATATATATGCCATTAAAATCTTGGTTTGATTATTTATATATATAAATATTTGAGACACTATTGAATTTTTGATGGTCCAGTTTTGAGGCTTAAATTTTAAATGTGATTTTTAGAATTTAGAATATACTAATTTCATATTTAGAAATTTTAGAAAATTCTTTTTATTAAAGTAAATAAGTTGAGGGATGTAAATAAATAATTTGGCTTGTTAGAAAATTACCAATTAGTTCTAAAGTACTTAATTTTGGATTATAAGAGTTGTGAGAATTTAGAATGATAATTAAATTAAATTAGGAATTTAACTAATATATATATATAAGCTTAATTAATTAGCTTATATTAATTTGTGGTTATATTAATGATGTAGATTGATTATTGGATTGTTGGTTTGAGCACGGGGTTGACTTTGTAGTAATTCTTTTTATAGCCTTGGTGAAAGGTAACCACTTTCCACTTGTTATGTATGCTTGTATGATGTTTGTGAGTGATTTCGAATTATATGAGATTCTTGAAATGCCATTGAATTATTATTTGAACAATGAAAGGCATCATTGTTGAAATTGCCTTGAGATACTTTATGTTATTGAAAAATAGTATGAAATTATGAATTTATAAATTTGTCATGTGGAATAAGAATTTATTGAGAAATGGTTTGAGGATTGATGTTGATTATTGAAATTTCGAAATCTCGATTTTGGTAAATGTGAAAGTTATTATGTTATTGGTAAATGACTATTCTCATGAGTATAAATACGAGAGGGGACGGTGAACGTTGATTGGTGGGAGACATGTTATAGGGAGAATAAGGGGGTGGATTTTTGTACATATTATAGAGGTAATAAGGTGGGAGGATGCCAGATGTACACTGGTTGATCCTTTGGCCCTATCATGTGTTGTAGGGCGTATGACACCCCGCTAGTAGACTAGAGGGGGAACCCATGGTCTGATCTTGTGCTATGTGGATTTTGGCCTATTCACATCACTTGATCAGTGAGCTTATTATGTTGAACTACCAGTCACATGGGACAGTACTAGCCCATGGGTTCAGTCAGAGGAAATAAGGTGTGAGGAAATAAGGTGGAATTGAGAGTGAGATATTGCATTTTGATATGTATATGTGTATATATATATAACCGATGTTACAATTTTGGTATCAGAGCTTAAGATTCTGTAACTTGTGTTGCATTACATGTAGTGGCAATATACAAGGTTCATACATATCCTTCCTTGTTAGTTGCAGTGTTTGTTTTGTGTTGCGGTGCTTACCTTTTATGGTGGCTTGTATCCTTAGGCAGGGAGAGATGGTAAGCTCTGGAAGGATTGATCGTATTGAAAATCAGGCATCACCTTCACTTGAACAATCTCAACATCAAAGTGGAGAGACTCCTTTGACACAAATGATAAAGATGAGGATTACCGTAGAGGATGAACGGATAAGAAAATTTGAAGAGGACAAGGCTAGGAAGAAAGAAGAGGATGCAAACAGCAATAATAGAAGCCCTAATAGAAATGGACACAAGGTTGTGAGCGTTGAAAACTCAGGAAGGTTGACTGGTTATGATGGTGTAAGTACCAAAAAGGCTGAGTGGAGAGATGCTCAGGGACAACACTCTGCTCATGTGGGGCCTACTGGAGGAGTTGGTAAGAGGGTAAATCAGAACTTAGGAAGCTCGCGGAGGAATAGTACTGAGAGCCAAAAAGAACTTGCCCGACATGGTTATTTACAGAGGAAGCAAACTCATAAGAGCCATAAGAATCTAAAAGAATCTACACGATTGGGTTACTTACAGATGAAGCAGACTCAGAAATGCTATAAGAGCTTAAAAGAATCTGCACGATGGGGTTACTTTCAGAGAAAGCACCTTAAAAAGAGTCACGCTGGGGGAAGCCAGAACCCATATCATTGTTTTTCTCTGTCCCAATCTAGTGATGGTAGACCCTGTCAGAAATGTGGAAATATGCATTTAGGACAATGCTGGGAGTGTTATCGATGCCACAAGCTAGGGCACATCGTCCGTAATTGCCCAGAGGCTAGACAGATCCCTCAAAGCAATCATTCTTTTGTTTCAGGACATGTCCTTAAGATGACATAAGAGGAGGCTGAGGAATCCCTTAATCTGATTAAAGGTACAACTCACTCCAAAGACATGATATCTTTATCTTGTTGATGCGGATGCTAGGTATTCCTTTTTATCTGTTAAGTGTACTAAAAGTTTAATTTGTGTATGATTGATTTGTTCTGTTTGCCGCTTAATGGCGTCAATGTGATTATGGGGCGTGGATTAGTTGTTAGCTAGTGATGTCATCCTTGATTGTAAGAGGTTTGTGATTTCCTTTTATACTATGTCTATGGAGGTTTTTATAGGTTTCATATTGTGGTTGTCTACTCGTAAGAGTATTTAAGGAATTTGCCACCACGTGTGACATTCTTCTCTGTCACTTAGGGATAAAGAGTTTATTATTGAATAGATTGAGGTGAAGGAATTCATTCAACTGAGTGTTACATCATAGGGTTCACTGGTATTGTTAATAAGAAAAGATGATTGCAACATACGATTATGTATTGACAACAACAATTTGAAAAGTGACCAAATGGATATTTTGAATGTATTTCTGGATGTAATTTTAGAAGGAATGCTAAGTGTACTTCTAGGGCATGAGATGAAGTCCTCTATTAAGTTGGAATAAGAAATAGAGCGTATCTCAAAGGTCCTTTCTGTGAAATATTGACATCCAAGTTAGAAACATTAAAAGGAAAGAGAGGGAGAACCTACCAGTTTATCATACCTAGTGTTTCTCCTTGTGGTTCATAGGTGTTGTTGTGAAAAAGAAAGATAAGAGCTTGAGGTTGGGTGTTGATTATCATAATATCCTAATTTGTTTAATTATAAGGTATATAGTTGTGTTTTAAATTTTAGATTCGTGTGAAAATTAAGGGTTATTATTCTTGATTAAGGTTAATTGAGGATTAGAGATATTATGAATGATGATTTGAAGTTATATCCTTCAACATTTCGAGCAGTCTCAGAATATGAAAATTTTGATGGATTTAAGTTAGTTACTTGGCTTATATAAAATGTCTAGTCAATTTAGTTTTGTTGTGATTTAGGTTTTTGGTGATTTGGAGTTATGGTTTGTTATTAGAAGAAAAGCTTTATGGAGATTGGTAATATGATATTTTGAAATAAGGTTTAAGGATTGGTTTATGTTCGTTTGACTGAATATTTTGGGATTTGGTATGCTCGAGGTTAATAGTTCTAAATGTAAATTGGGGATTGTCATGAATGATTATTATCAAGGTTGACTAATGGATTTAACGGACCATTTAAGTAGAGGAAATAATTATTATATCTTTTGATTGAGGAATTGAAATTAGATTGACAGTTAAATATTTGGAGTTATCGTGGATTGTGAGATATAAGGGTTGATCTTGTATTAATAGTGTTTTTCTTAAAGATTTAGAGATGTTATCCTTCAGGTACTTAATTTCTATTCTTTAGTGATAATGAAAGTCTAAAGTATCAAGTAGACTAGAAAAGTTGGACAACGATAGTATAAATAGATGAAAATCCTTAAAGACTATGACTTTGAACTTAAAGTGTCACTCAAGTAAAGTTATCGTGGTTGCTAACACATTGAGTAGGAAGACAGTGTATGTGTTTCATATGAGGTTAGAGGAGTTCTGTTGTTTGGTAGGGTTGAGAGATCTATAAGTGGTGCCTGAGACATCAGATACTTTGCAGTCGAATATGAATTCTTTAAGGATTTGAAGGTAGCACAAATGAAAGGTGAATGATTATTGAGTATTTGAGACGTATGGGGAAATGGGGATGTGTCAGATAATGATATTGGAGGAAAAGGAATCTTTAAAAAAAAAAAAAGAGAGAACTTGCATCCCTAATGATGATGAGATTAAGAAGGACATTTTTTTTAAAAAAAAAAGGAGTTTTATCATAGTAACTTTTCAATGAATCTAGGAATAATGAAGATGTATAATGATTTAAAAAGAAACTATTAGTTGTAGAAGATAAAAAGAATTGTGACAAAATTTGTGATGTAATGTTTGACTTGATAGAAAGTCAAAATAAAACACCAAAAGTCTCCAGGACTACTTTAAAATTTAGATATTCCTCAAAGAAAGTGGGATAGCATTTTCATAGATTTCATTACTAGTTTGTCAAGGACACCAGCTGGATATGACACAATATGAGTGATTGTTAACAGATTGATTAAGTTGGTACACTTCTTACCCGTAGAGCCACTTACTCTTGGGAGCAGTTGACATAATTGTACATTGATGAAATAGTTCGACTTCATGGAATGCTAGAATCCATCATATCTGATCGAGATATAAGATTTACATCAAACTTTTAGAGGTTTTTACATGGAGACATGGATACTAAGTTAAAATACAACTACTGCCTACCATCTCAGACAGATGGACAAAACGAGAGGATGATTTAAACCCTTGAAGACATGTTAAGAGCTTTTGCTATTAAGTTGAAGGATAGTTGGGACAATCAGCTATTGTTAGCAGAACTTGCCTATAACAATAGCTACTATGCTAGCATTTAGATAGCATCGTCCGAGGCGTTATACAGGAAAAAGTGTAGATCTCTACTTTGTTGGATTGAATTAAGTGAAAGAATAATTATTTGCTCAGATTTAGTAAACATTATAACTAGAAAGAGTAAGCTTATTAAGTAGAAATTGTTGACAGCCTAAGGTCGCTAGAAGAGTAATGCAAATCATTGGAGGATACCTTTAGAAATTGAATTGGATGATCCTGTATTTCTGAAAGTTTCACCTATTATAGGTGTTGGTAGATCCATTAAGGTTAAGAAGCTTATATCCCGATTCATAGGTCCTTATGAGATTTTAGGACGGATTAGACCTATTGTGTGAAATCCCACATCGGCTAGAGAGGAGAACGAAGTATGCTTTGTAAGAATGTGAATACCTCTTCCTCGTAGATGCGTTTTTTGGGTGGCTACGGCTAAATTGGGGAAACAAATGGTGAGGTGGCTATGGCTAGACCAAAACTGAAAATAGCTACAAGGGACACCCTGGGATGGCTACGGCTACACTCTAAGATCTGTGGATGTTACATATTGTATATCGGACTGTGCTACCCCCATATCTTTCTAGGTTACACGACGTGTTCCATGGATAGCAATTGAAGAAGTATTATCCGAATTCGTCTCATGTTATTGAGTTGAAACGGTTGAGTTATGAGAAAATTGATCTATAAAGCGGAACAAGAATAGATTTTAGACGTTAAGGATAAACAATTGAAGAACAAGACCATCCGCCATGTTAAGGTCATTTGGAATGGCATGAGTCCTGTTGATGCTACTTGGGAGACTGAAAAGCGGATGCGTCACAGTACCCTTGTTTCTTTAGTCAGCATCTTGAGTTGCTTTTGTTTTGATTTTTGTATATGGTTGTTTGAATTTTGGGGACAAAATTCCTTAGGTGGGGAGAATTGTAACATCTTAAATTTTACTCCACGAATTTAAATATTAAAAAAAAAAAGAGGGTTCCCAATTGTTATTTTCTCCGTTTTATTTTGGGTCTTTAACTTTAGTTTACCCCGAGTGACTTCTTTTTACTTTCTCCCGTCATTTTTCCTCTTCTCCTTCTCTCTCTCCGCGTTCATTCTTCGTTCTTTCTCCCTTCTTTCTTCATCATTTCAAATAGTTTTGGTAAGTAAAACTACTTCTAATTACAAAACTTTCTTTATAAAAATTGTTCTACTCAGTCAGATCTACCTAATGATAGTAATTTTGTGTTGCTTAGAGAAAATTTTTGGTATAGAGTTTGGAGCAAGTATTTAGTTTTGATGAGTGTTAATCACAGTATTGTAGATCTGTTATAGTAGATCATTTCTATCGGTTTAGATTTGTCTATTTATTGATTTTGGTATTTAAAAATTAATTTTTAATTAAAAAATACGTTATTTATGATATATATATCATATTTATACCGATTAAAATTAAGTTAAATAATTTATTTGGGTTGTTTGATATATTCTTAAAATTTTAATCGGTTTAGTTTTATTTATTGAGTGACTAGAGGTTTTAAAATAATTATTGTAGTTAAAGTTTCTTATTTATAAAAAAAAAACATATATATGCCATTAAAATCTTGGTTTGATTATTTATATATATAAATATTTGAGACACTATTGAATTTTTGATGGTCCAGTTTTGAGGCTTAAATTTTAAATGTGATTTTTAGAATTTAGAATATACTAATTTCATATTTAGAAATTTTAGAAAATTCTTTTTATTAAAGTAAATAAGTTGAGGGATGTAAATAAATAATTTGGCTTGTTAGAAAATTACCAATTAGTTCTAAAGTACTTAATTTTGGATTATAAGAGTTGTGAGAATTTAGAATGATAATTAAATTAAATTAGGAATTTAACTATATATATAAGCTTAATTAATTAGCTTATATTAATTTGTGGTTATATTAATGATGTAGATTGATTATTGGATTGTTGGTTTGAGCACGGGGTTGACTTTGTAGTAATTCTTTTTATAGCCTTGGTGAAAGGTAACCACTTTCCACTTGTTATGTATGCTTGTATGATGTTTGTGAGTGATTTCGAATTATATGAGATTCTTGAAATGCCATTGAATTATTATTTGAACAATGAAAGGCATCATTGTTGAAATTGCCTTGAGATACTTTATGTTATTGAAAAATAGTATGAAATTATGAATTTATAAATTTGTCATGTGGAATAAGAATTTATTGAGAAATGGTTTGAGGATTGATGTTGATTATTGAAATTTCGAAATCTCGATTTTGGTAAATGTGAAAGTTATTATGTTATTGGTAAATGACTATTCTCATGAGTATAAATACGAGAGGGGATGGTGAACGTTGATTGGTGGGAGACATGTTATAGGGAGAATAAGGGGGTGGATTTTTGTACATATTATAGAGGTAATAAGGTGGGAGGATGCCAAATGTACACTGGTTGATCCTTTGGCCCTATCATGTGTTGTAGGGCGTATGACACCCCGCTAATGGACTAGAGGGGGAACCCATGGTCTGATCTTGTGCTCTGTGGATTTTGGCCTATTCACATCACTTGATCAGTGAGCTTATTATGTTGAACTACCAGTCACATGGGACAGTACTAGCCCATGGATTCAGTCAGAGGAAATAAGGTGTGAGGAAATAAGGTGGAGTTGAGAGTGAGATATTGCATTTTGATATGTATATGTATATATATATAACCGATGTTACAGCTCACCCGCTGGTGGAGGCTCACTGGAATGCGAACGTCCGGGAGCTCAACATGCAGCTGACACAGCTTCTAGGGCAACTGGAAATGGAGAGGAAGCGAGGAGAAGAACTGGACCAGGTGAGGAAGGTGAGGCAGAGACAGTTCTGGTGGGAAAACCCTATTGAAGAATTAGGGCTTAATGAGTTGCAGCAAGTGATGGTTTCAATGGAGGAACTGAAGAAGGAGTTAGGGAAAATGGCGAGCAAGATGCTAATGGAGCATAACAGTTTGGCTACTGATTCATCGGTGATTGTTGGAGGAGGACACGGTGGACTTGGACGTTATATTAATAATGATGTCTTCGAGAATAAACATCTTGTTATGAACAACATTAATGCTGCTTCGTCCAGTAATATTCTTCCTCCTCAACATGCCTATAACAATCTCAATTGTAGGCATGGATATCTATGATTTTTTTCTTTCCAATTTTGTGTGTTCGTTTTTTGGTCTTGGTTTTGTCTGGGAAAATATATTAATTCTCTCTTTGGTTTCAATAAGGTTTTTCGTGTGGGAAAACTCTCTCTCTCTCTCTATATATATCTATATATATATTTATATAGTTTTATATGTGATTTTGTTAATTTGCTGCTCTTGGAATAAGATCTAAATTAACCTCATCGTATATTCTTGAAACAATTTGCTTGTTCTCATTACCACTCTCTGTTAGGGTTAATAACATAATTGTTAATTATATTATACCACCTCCTGTTTTTAATACTACCTCCGGTACTTAATAGTATAAGAGCTAATTGATTAATTTAAGTTGATTAAAAAATAGTACCAAAAAAATTGATTAAAAAATTAATTTAGTTATTTGTAATAAATAGATGTTGTCTTCTCTAAGATACCTTTACTAATCAAGTGTCATTTGATAAAACATTTAATATGTGCAGTTAGCAAATACTACTTTGAAAAAAAATAAATAAATATGAGAAACAAAATGGACTGAGATCTTATATTCAAAACAAAATTAAAAATCAAATTAAGTTTTATAATAAGAACTGGAGGTAGTATTAGAATTATTCAGTTAATTTGGATTTATAAGCTAAATAAATTAGTTCAAAAAAAAAATGATAAGTACGAGATAAGATAAAATTCGTAGGACTGGTGTTTGCTCACGGTACTCTCTTTGAAGTCAATTTGTTCTTCCACCTTTTGTTATTTGGTTCTAATGATAATGACAGGTCTGCCATAATATCCTGTATCTACACAATAATCACCCCGTTAAATTCCACACTTTTCTGTTCAATAATATTTCCGTGCAAATCTCATTTCAATTAGCAGAAACTTGCAATTTTATTCTGGCTTCCATCCAACTCTCATTCCATGTATATGGTTAAAACAAATATATATATTAATAAATAACAATATCGATTTTCAAATAAATAATATTTGATCATCTAATCCAAGCATGTGAAATCAAATGATGAGTTTGAGCCAATTAAACATTAATGCCAACGAAAATCAACATCAAAATGGTGAAAAAGTTACTCAGAGATCCATCAAAAGATCCTGAATTTCGTGTCCCAGAGTCCGCTTCAATGGGAATAGGTGCTGTGAATGTAGGAGGACTCTGGTTTTCTGCAAAAGGAGAAGGAGAAGACGAAGATGAAGGAAAAGAAGCCATACATGAAGAAGAAGCCTCTGTACTGTTATTATTAGTACATGAGTTTCTTGCTGATACATCCACTTCTGACAAAATCCCATCAATCCCATGGCATCGAATGGAAGATCCAGAAACACAAATATTGGGACTAATGATCTTCGCATTGTTCAGAACAAAATTACGCCTTCCATTGTTGGTGATTCTAAGCATATACTTCGGTAATGAACTGGGAACAGTGGTTCCTGTGGGGAATTTCTCTAGGGTTTCGAGCAGCAAAGGTGAAGGGATCGAATGCTGAAGCAAGAAATCTGAAACAGATCGTTCAGGCATCTCCACTTTTGCAAGCATATGATCCTTGGGCATCAAGAAAGTAACATTGGCCTCAAGTCTTGGGTCTGGTGGAGACATATTGATGAGCATCACAAATGTGAAGTAATTAGCTCGCTACATCTCTTCAATGGCTGCAACTAGGTCGCCAGTTCTTACTGGTGTGGCTAAGGGAAGAAGAAGGAGAAGAAGCGGCATCCACAGAGATTTTACCATTAAGATTGAATTGTTATTGCTCGCCATTTCTGAATATATTTTTTGCTTCTTGATTGTTTACTGAGAGATTGATGTCTTCTTTTGATTTTATCTTGATATGGGTACTCCAAATTCTGAGAAATTACGAAGCAATAATTTTTCTTCTATCTACATGCAAAGACGATGCTTCACCAATTCCTGTCCACGCCTCTTGGATGACTGTTTTGCTTTAATCAATATAGTTTAAATTAAGTTTCACAAATCTTGGGTTTTGAAGACAGTAAAAAATTAAAGGATTTTATAAAAAGAAAAAAAAAAGCAGTCTAATGATTGATTCAAAACTAGAGAAAATTACAAGTACTGGGAGATTAATTTTTCCAAATTAGAGTAATAATTATGCATCCATATTGTCAAGATGAAGATTCTCTATAACTTGCTATCTCGGAGTAATAATTAAGATTTAATCAAACATTAAATTGCACGAAGTGCCATAGTAGACCAGCTTGACAACATGATTAATTAGTTAATTATTAATTAATTACACATGTCTTTAGTCCAGCTAGCAATCCCAAATTCGTAAACCCAAGAAAGAGTATTCGTTTTTATTGTCTCTTTAATTAATGCTTCTTTAATTTTAATTTGAACCACGTGATGATGAAGAAGAGAGTTAATTAGCACTGCTGTTTTGTCACGGAAGTGCTACGTTAAAACGATTATATTTCAACATCCTCTCAATTAATGACCGTTTGAAGAATTAAAAAAATTATTTTTTACCAATAAATATTATTATTTCCTAATTTGGATTGTTCTCCTTTTTGTTTTTGGAGGGCGTGTTGGTGGGGGCTCTCCTGCTATTTTTTGGTTTTTGATAGAGCGGGCTCTCCAGGGTTGGTTGAATGGTTTCTATATATTCCTTGGCCCATTAAGACAGCCCACTACCTAAATTCAGGAGGTTGGGCCCATGAGGCCGAAAATCAGTTTTTCTTTGAGGCTGATACGATCATGTATACTTCAACTATTGTGTGGGATTCAATTCCCATAGGGCCTAGGAGTCTTTTATTTTTATGGCTCCCTAGTCCTCTTTTGTACCCAAAAAAAAAATAATTATGTAGACTTTCTAAACAAAATGTCCCGATTTAACAAAGACGTGGATGAAGAAAAAATTGAAGGGGTAGAAACTAGGGAAAAAAAACATGATGCCAGTATTACCGTCATCATGAAATTAATAAATTTTCTTCATTATAAGATTTCTTCTGTTAATTAAAATACAAGGAGATAAAACATTTTTTTGATGTTTTCTTCATTTCATTTTTTTAATTTTCTCAAATTTTCTTCCATTTTCTCCTCCTCCTTAAAAAAAGTATTGTTCTTCATTTTTTTAATAGTAATACTATCTTCAATCCTAAATATAAAAGATAGATAAAAGATTTATATTGTCTTAAATAAAAAATTTCAATCTACTTTGTTTTCTAAATTTATAATTTTTTTCTTCAAAATACTCCTAATTGTATATAGTAAAAAGATTTCAATCAATGAATAGTTACAATGCATATAATTAGAAAAGAGTATTCTATAAAAACTAATATGCATTTTTTACAAATAACTTTATAATTTTTGCTGTCAATTGTTAAAATAACTAATTAAGCTAATTTTTTTATCATTCACAAATTAAATATTTAGCTGTAATATTGAGAAAGAAAGGAGTAATAATGAAAAGAGATGTCTTGGACAAGTAAAGACAGGAAGATACGTTAACAACATGTTTGGATGGCACATTTTTGCAGCTCCCGTGATGGAGAAGGAAGAATGGGTGGCTTTTTGGTTAAAAGAAAAACATTTAAAATAAAATCCAAAAAAAAAAAAAAAGTTGTACGTACAACTACTAGGAATCATGCTGCTGAGTAGGTTGTGACAGGGTTGTGGATCTGGTGGTGCCAAGGATGGGGAACTGGAAGTGCAACTGGAAATGAGCTGGATGAGGAAGGAGACTGGGAAGCAGAAGCCACGTGTGTGTCTCTGACATATTAATCCTTCATTCGCACTCATTTAGGGAGAGGCTGCCCTTAATTATGGTTTTTGGCTTCTCTAAGAAATTTCACTTAATCATTATCCGCATATAATCCCTCCGCTTCATAATGTGATATCCTTCCGGTTCAAAATATAAACTAAACTTGACTGGTTTTTTTTTTTAATAAGAAAACATTTACTTTTTTCTAAATATTTAATGAGTTTTTTTTCTAATTTTATCCCTATATATATTTTTAATTTATTTATTGTATCTTTTACTTATTTTCTTTATTAATAAGAGCATATTTAGGGAAAAATATATGCCTTACATATTTATTGTTTTAAATTGATTTTAACTAGTTTCTTGATAAGCATGGTACGCAAAGTTTAGTTTATATTTTAAACCGAAAGAAGTAAGTCTTTTTAAAAAAAAATTATCCAAAATATAAGAAATTAAAAGATAATTAATTCCTATCTTCGGTCCTTAATATAAGATCTTGTTTGACTTTTATTTTGATCCTAAATATAAGATCCCAGTCTATTTTGTCTCTCATATTTATATATATTTTTCAAGATAGTCCTCCTAATAATGGTAGTTATAGCCAATATACTTAATTAGCAAGGATATTTTAGGAAAGATAACACATATTTATTACAAATAACTAACTTAACTTTTTTCCCTAATCTCCTCAAATTAGTCAACTAGCTCTTGTGATTAGGACCAGAGGTAGTATAATTTTTTACTTTTATCTTTTGTTACCCGAAGGAAGGAGAGAGTTTTAAATGCATGGGAGAGGAAAGAAAATTTTTCAATCGCATTCTTTAATGAAAATAAAATAGACAACTTTTATCAAGCTCCCCACCCCCCCCCCCCAATTTGTGAGAAAGCTTAACTAGCATCCAATTGGAGGGAATATAATCAAATCTCAGCAGGCTCTCATCACACGGTTAAAAAACCAATTGAGTATACATGTCTTGATGTTAGGGATCATGCCTTCGAAGGAATAAAATGGCTTTGCTTTGGTCATGATTATTCATGAGTGTTTCTGGGCAATGTGAAAAATCAGTATTCACATTTCCCATGTTAAATTATAATCATGCTGGTTTTCTTTGTAATTAATGCCTTCCCCCGGTTCAAGAGGAACTAGATTGATGATGAAGACCGCCACTTTGCAGCATTATGTGGCCATAATGCAGTTCCCTCAAAGTTAATTAGCTTTGTTTTGAATCTACCATCAACCATATGCCCCCATGTCCTTTTGAATCACACGAATATTAATTAACACTACTATTCCTTCATATAAAAGTTACCAAGAAATTCAATTGCCTCTCTTACTTTGCTTTTAATATCTATCCATTTTGCCACCAAGTAATAATCTTAATGATCATTGTACATATTAAAGAGTTTCTACTAAAGAATATTTTCAATATATATATATTTATATACACATGATTAATAAATGGTATTTTAGGAAAGACAACATTTATTTATTACAAATAACTAATTTAAACTAATCTTCTTAATATCAACTAGTCTTATATTAAATGCAGGAGGTAATATTAAACTCTTGAGATTCTTATATTATATATACACACTCTATTATACCTTTAATATAAGTACTAAATAATTAATTTATAAATATTAAGTTGAGTCAATTATTTGTAACAAATTCTGAAAAAAATTATTTATAATCAGTGTTTGTTGATTATTCTAAAATAATAGTTTTTAATCAAGTGTAATGAAATTATTTTTAATAGAAATCCCCTTAAATATGCATGCAATTCATGTGGGTATTTAAAAAAATTATAAATTTAAAATACAGAATAGATTGAAATAGAACTAAAATAAACTTTTTCCTTAACTCTTATGTTTACAAATGGTGATAGCAAATTTATACTCATCTGATTTTTATGTAAGATCTAGTTAACTAATTTAAGTAGATTAAAGATATTAGTTAAATTAGTCAATATAATATATTTTTTTAAAATAATCTAATAATCTTTCTTAATTTCCTCCCTCTATCTCTTATTTTATTATTATTGAGAGAATATTAGAAAAATTAATTTTTAAAAATAATAATAAATATGCGAAATAAGTGTTTCAAAATTGCGGAGACAATAGATTTCGGCCAAACAATATGTCCGAGGGAGAGATGCCCCTGAAAGATGGATCATAATAGTGAGCAAGAATCGCATTTGCAGGCTCCCCCCCCTCTTTTTGGGGAACAAGAATCGAATATGGATAAATCAGAATCTTTCAGAAAAAATCACAATGAATTAATCTTTAAATCAGTGCGATTTCGTCTAGCTTGACTGATCGATTTTTTGTTTTGGCCAAAACAAAGTCCATTTTATTAATACCAACAAAAACAGTACACACACCAATAGCCCAAAGGCCAGAAAAAGAAAAAACACTCAAGAAAAACCTACAGAAACAAGCTAACACACAACTAAACCAAAAAAAAAAGGGAAAATTACGTACAGGTCCCACAGAAGGCAATTTATTCATCTAAGGTCCCACGAAATGTCAAAATCACTGACAGATCCCAAGGGACCTCAGAGTAATATTTTCGATTTTTAAAATGACATTATTGCCCCTCATATTCTAGATTCACATTTGCTCTGTCATTGCGATTTACAACCTCAGCAGCGACTATTAACAACCGAATGAGAGGGCATTAACAACCTACGCAGTATCCGTTAACAACTTACTTTATAGAATCATATAACCTCCATATAAGCATAAATTATAACCAAATAGTATAATACAACAACTTTAACACTAAAATGAGAAGCTATTTGATATCATTAAGAATTTTAACTAAACCCAATAGGATTATAGTAATATTTTAATGCGAAGATCCATTTACAACCTCAGC